GCCTTCCCGCCCGGCCTGAGCCCGAACATCGGGACTGTAAACCGGGAATCCGTTTTCCTCGTCATTTGCGCTGGAAATAGCCCGGGAAGCGGGAGGATTTAGGGCGAATCCTCCGCTTTCAACCCCCCCCCCTCACCCCGGGAATTTGCGGGGTGCGGCGGGACGGGTCAGGACCCGCGGCCCCTCCGCACGTCGGAGGCCTTTCCCCAGTTCCTCCGCGTATTAACAACGAGAAAAAGAGGAGAAGAAGAGGGACTAAGGGCATCCCTCTTCCCGCGGAGCCGCGCAGGTAGTGCGGAGGCAGAGATCTCGACTAGGAATTATTAACGTTATAAATGCCCCGCCGCGCGCAGCATTTAAAGATACCCCCCCGGGACTCACATAGGCTTGAGCTGAACGTATATACTCGAGGCGGTTAATTGGGACGTTTCTTTTATCTCCTGCTAATTATTTCGGTTCATCGATGGAAGCTTTATTTCCTCGGTAGGCGGTTTCGTTTTAAAAATCCCGACTCATCTGTTCTGGGTATAAAAACCCCGTCGATATCTTTCTCCTTTTTCGTGGTATTAGACTTTCTATTCTTTTTCACATTTGCAATTAATTTCCCACTTATTAGTCCATTTCTTTATTGTTGGTTTTCTGGGTTTTTAATTAAAAAAAAAAAAAATTTTTTATACGAACCTTTACCGCTTCTAACTACGGCAACCTGCTGCGAGTTATAACATCAGCTGTCCCGGGGATGAGTTATTGCGAGTATCAATGGGTGAAAATAGATGATTGTAAACCAATTATTTGAAAAATTAGAGAAACGGAGCGCGAGAAAGCGAGGGAGAGAGAGGAAAGGAAAAGAAAGAAAAAGAAAGAAAAGGAGATAGAGAGAAAGAAGGAAAGAAAAAAAGGAAGGAAAGAAAACGAACGAACGAAGGACGAAAGGTGACCTGCGCGTATTTAGTGTATTTTTCGAGGTATTGTAAGTGACTTGGAGCTTGAGTTTTCTGCCTTGCCAATCTTCAAGCTGTCTCTGCCGAAAGGCCTACAGACTTTCTTGAAACGTTTGTGGTTTTTTTGGTTTGGCATATTTTTTTCTTTCCTTTTATTCCCCCCCCCCCTTTTCTTTTGAAAGCTTTTTTTTTCTCTTTTAATTCCATCGCGATCGGTTTTCTGGTTCCGCTACGTACCTGGGACAACCCAAATATCGAAATATCCGGCCAGACGCCCCCCCCGCCCCCAGCCCCGAGCGGGGGGGGGCCGGAGGAGGACGGGCGGTCGCCCGGC